GGTTCTGGAAGGATCAGTGGGTTATGTGGTTCTGGAAGGATCAGTGGGTTATGTGGTTCTGGGAGGATCAGCGGGTTCTGTGGTACTGGGAGGATCAGTGGGTTCTGGGAGGATGAGTGGCTTCTGTTGGTCTGTGGTTCTGGGAGAATGAGTGGGTTCTGTGGGTCTGTGGTTCTGGGAGGATCAGTGAGTTCTGTGGTTCTGGAAGGATCAGTGAGTTCTGTGGTTCTGGAAGGATCAGTGGGTTCTGTGGTACTGGGAGGATGAGTGGGTTCTGGGAGGATGAGCAGGTTCTGTGGGTCTGTGGTTCTGGGAGGATGAGTGGGTTCTGGGAGGATGAGTGGGTTCTGTGGGACTGGTTATAGTTTGTTTTGCAGATTTTTAGCTGAAGATTGAATAAAAATAGTTTCTGCAGGTTTGAATTAAGAGGATCGACTGATAAACGTCCCTTTTTGTCGGATCAGAACCACCCGGCTGCAGAAAGGTTCTGATGAAGACTGCGGTGAGTCCGACTCACCTTGATGTCGAACACCCTGATGAAATAGGACCTCTGAGGATTGTCTTTGACCAGGCAGACCACCCCGCAGCACCTCTTCATCCAGCAGCCGCTCCGCTCGGCCCGGTACACCTGCACCACGGCCGAACACAGCGTCTGAACACACAGGGAAAAACCAGGTTAGCTTCCTGAGGGCCAGCAGAACTTAGCGGCCCATCAGTGGATCGGAGCGTCGGGAGAACAGAGCACGTCCTTCATCTCTGATAATCAGATCAGATGCAAATATTCTACCAGGAAGAAGAATATTCAGGTGCAGGCGGCTGAGGGGCCAAACATGCTGCAGACAACCCTAAATGACACAACAACGTTGGGAGGAGCCAAGCAGATGGTTTCTACCCATCAGTGGATCAGAGGTTCTGTTAAAGTGCTTTACTCTGGACACTGAGAGAGGAAACGCTGAGGAATACTTCCCCGTTGGGTCAGAGCAGCTGCAGGAAGTCAGTTTGACTGTGAAATCAGCGCTCTAAAGCCGGGCCAGAGGACAGAAACTTCCGGATTCTCACTGACAGGGATGAGGGCTCAGCTAAAGTCCACCTGGACTTCGACTAGGCCATTCTAGGCCTTCTACCTGGTCCTCAGCTGCCTCTAACCTCCACCTTCACAGAAAAACATCCCCACAGCATGACACTGCCACCACTATGTTCGATGAGATGTTTTTAATGAAAAGAATGAATTTCCTGAACTCCCTCATGGCTAGCAGTGCTAATCCTACCCTGACCCCTCCTCTGGAGCAGAACCTCTGCTAACATCAGGTTAGCAGGTTCTCTAACAGGTGTCTGCTGATGAAGGTGGATAAAGAATCCATCCTGTCCTTCCTGGGACTAGTGAGCATGAGAGATTAAAGCCCAGGAGGCGGAGCATGGCAGCAGGAGGAGCCCATGGACAAGACAGGGGGGACCTCTGGAACTCAGCGTCATGTTGATCTGCAAACCCTGATACAAAAAATTAATCTAAAACTTTTCTCTTCTAAACCTAGGAAACAGTTTGGATGCACGGTTTCCAACAACCACCGCATCCAAAATGGTTCTGATGAGGCGATGCTGAATGGCTGCTACAAACAGCTGTACCCAGACCAGCTGTTTACAGGTGAAACATGGAGCAGATCTGCTACCTGATACCAGCTGACTGACCGCCTGTCTGCTGGCAAAACATCACAATGATTCCCATCTAAACAACAAGGCTGGAAACCTGCTTCTGCTAAAGGGTCAGCTGGTTCCCGCATCACACCTCCCTCCCATGCAATTCCAGACCAGATCCTTTGCAGATCCAGGCCTCTGCAGATCCAGATCCTCTGCAGATCCACATCCTCTGCAGATCCACATCCTCTGCAGATCCACATCCTCTGCAGATCCACATCCTCTGCAGATCTAGGTCTCTGCTGAAGGAGGGAATAGAAACCAGATCCCGATTCATGGAGAGGCTTCCTGAGGTCTGGACTAAAACCTTTGGGGATTAAAGTGAATTTGTTCCCAGCAGCTCCTGGTCAGTCAGCTGCAGCTGCAGCCATGATGGATATGATCTAAGGTCATGCTGAGGAAGAGGAGGAGGTTAACATGCTCCTGCCTGCAGAGGAGTAGGAAGAGGAGGTGCACCTGCTCCTGCCTGCAGAGGAGTAGAAAGAGGAGGTGCACCTGCTCCTGCCTGCAGAGGAGTAGGAAGAAGAGGAGCCCCTGCTCCTGCTTGCAGTGGAGAAGGAAGAGGAGGTGCACCTGCTCCTGCCAGCAGAGGAGTAAACTTACAGCGCATTTTCTGCCCAGGTAGCCGAACAGACAGTCGTTCTCCTGCGGGGTGAGGAGCAGGGAGCCCACGTTCCCAGCCCTGCGGGGCGGAGGGTGGCTGTTCATGGCTCCGAACTTGATCCGATTCCCCGGGAGGGGCGCGTTTCGGGAGGACCTGGTCTTAAGCGTCCCTCCTCAGGACAGACATCCATGCGGGCTCCGGCGGCTGTGGCCTGCGACCATCTCCGCTCAGGAGGAGCGAGCAGGGAAGGCTGCTGGATTCCAGGAAACTTCCTGCTTCAGGAAAAGCTCCTTTTCTTCTCCGCCCGGTGAAAATATCCAGCTACGCAGTCTGCGAATGTCCGCAGGTGGATAAACACGCAACTTTGATGCGGGAGGTCCAGCAGCGGCTGGGATCTGTGGATGGATCCAACATGGAGGAGGAGGGAGGGGTCCACTCCAGCCAGGCAGCGGGGGAGAGAGCTGCCTCAGAAAGCCTCCTCCCAGCCTCACCCCCCGCTCTCATCAGACGCAAACCGGATCCTAGCAGCGGCGGTACAGACCGGCTGATAATAAAGCTGAAAGACCGACTGATTGCGGCTGCTGCTACATGCGGGGCGAAGCGGCCCTGAATGCCCCCCTACCAGATGGTACAGGCCGCTGAGGCAGGAGGAATGCTGCTTTGCGGAGGAAACGGGTGGGAGGGGGAGAGGGGGGATGCTGGAGGGTGACGTTGCCTAGTGACGATTACATGGCGCACATGACGCGTTTCACGTTTTGTACACAAAGCAGAACGCAGGGTCAGCAAGGTTCAGCCGCTCACACTTATGTAACATTAGCTTTACTAGAATATTATTATTATTATTATTATTATTATTATTATTATTATTATTATTATTATTATTATTATCACATGGTTTAAAGCAGATTCTCTTTGGCCACAATCTGGAC